CGCATGAAAACTGCAGAGCCAAGGAAAGGGAGGCAAGAACCCAGGAAAATACGGAGGGGCAAGTCATTACTGGAGGCGTGTGGACTGAGCATCAGGAGTGATGGAGAAGAATGAATCACTTTTGCCTGTCGGGGAGGGACTAATGCTGTAAGATGCAGAAGAGGAGGCAGAGGAGGATTGAGCCTGACCTGAATAGACATCACTAAGTCAGGAAGAAGCTCTTTCCAACACAGGGAAACAAGCTCCTACTCTGCAATACCGCTGAAGTGGCTGTTGCTGGGTGAGTCCCTGAAATGTTCACTGAGCTGCTTCTGCCACTCATGATCTCTTTTTTTTCCCCCTCTCATTCAAGCTCACTAGGATCAAAATGACTTGTAATCTTTCCTGTCTGTCAAAACCACTTTATTCAGCATTGGCATCTAATTTCCCTCCAGCTCCAGCTCTATTACAAACTAATCCAGGATCTGTGCATATAAGAGGCCAAAAATTCTCTCTGTCTCTCTGATATCAACACACACACAAGTCTGCTTCCCTCCTGCTGCCACCTGCTGCTCCCTCCTGGCTCTGTGAACCGTGGGGAGGAGGACTGGGTCTCCTGACATCTGTGGGTGCTGCTAGAGGGAGAGTGGGACAGGGAGGGTGCACGTCAGACGCTCACGCTGCTGACTGGCACTGCTGGTTTGCACAAGATGCTGAGGCGATGGGTGGAAAGACCCTCAGGAGCTGCCCCCAGATGCCAGGACACACTTTTACCATCCCTAGTGGAAACAGGATTGAGGCTAAGCAAAGCGTAGAACCCGTCTCTCTATTTGCAGACTTTCCTTTCCCTGCTCTTATGATGAGGGGATAAAGAATCCTCCAAACATCTGAGAAAGGACCTACTATTGGAAGTGCCACTGGCCTTCAACCCAAAACCACCAAAGCAGCTTGACATAACACCCTGACTTGAGTCCTGCAGGAATACCAATGTCGATCTCAACACCAATGTCAAGAACCTAAACCCAACCTCTGATGAGACACCAGAAGCTGAAAGCGGATCTGAGACACCAAACCCACACAGTCCCCACACCAGAGCCCATCCAAATGGAGAGCTGGGAGGAAGAAGAGTCAAATTGACCTGCAGCTTGACCTCACAGCTGGAGAGACTGAAGCTGACCTCAGCCCAGCAATTCTGGCCAAAACATTTCTGAATTAAACATTATTCAAAATACAGCATCCATCAACTAAACTCATGGGATTTAGGTGGCGTCTGGTGGCTGTTGCAGCTGGGCTGAAGCCATATGTGACTTCTTACACCTGTAGCTTGCAGCAGACAGCATCGAGGCAGGGACATTGTGCCCAGTGCTCTCCAGACTGAATGACAACACTGTAAATAGAATTTTAACAGTAATTACTAGTATGACATACAGAGACTCCGGATTCACTGCTACATCAAATCCTGCTTAATTAAAAAAAAAAGTCTTAAACAAGATCGGGGTTGGGGGTATTGTGGGTCCTGCCTAAAAGTCTGCATTTCTTCTTAACCCCTCGTTCACCAAGTGCCTTTTGCAAAGCACGGGACAAACTACCACTGTGCATGCCCTTGTCAACAGCAGGTCCTACCCCCGAGACACTCATGCTCTGAGGATGCCGATCTCTCTGCTGAGAGGTGCCAGTTAACCATGCTCATAGCCAGAGACCCCTGGCTGCTTAGTTCTCATTAGATTTAGTCCAGTGAGGGGCTTACTCCAAAGAGGGAACAGAAGAGGAGCACTGAAGCTGTTCCTACCTGCCGGAGAGTCCCCGTGGAGGTGAAGAAACAGTAGAGCATGTATCCTGGAATCAGCACCATGGAGGACAGAGCCATAAGCCAACCAATGCCTTGTCCCCAGGTAGGATAGACGTATTTTCCCAGTGTCAGAGGAGTCATTTCCACCACGCTGAAGAAGAACACGCCCTGGGAACAGAGCACCAGCCATTGCAGGTGAAGGTGTGAAAAATCAGGGACTATCCATCCATCCTTTCCTTCACGATCCTCTTAGCTCCCAACAGCTCCTTAAACTAGTCCAGAGACTACCAACTGGCAATTTCACATCATTTCTCCCGATTATCCTATGTGAAAAGCTGGAATTGGAATACCCCTGATTTCTTTATTCACCACAGTACTCAGACAAGCAGTGCCTCCACACCAGTTCTTAAATGAGTTCACAGTGTTCTCGCAGTTGCCCTCAGGAGCCTTCATCTTCCTGTCATGGGCCATCCCACACCATTCCCTGCACCACTCCTGCTGGGAGTGCAGGAACCAGCAAAGGCAAAACTGCTCCGCAGTTGGCTATACTGTATCCGCCTGATGTCTTTTGCTCTGACAAGCCCATCAGAGCCTGAGGCTGGAGCTGGAGTAGCTGAGAGCTTTCACCACCAGTAACAGCTTTATAAAACAGTAAATTATTTGCTTGTATTCTGGTTTCTCAGAAAGAGGAATGAAGAACTGATGGCAGCATTTACATAAAAACAATAACCCAGAGCTTGTCTTACAGGTGATTTCCTGCAGGCAGAGTGAAAGAGGCTCCTGTATTACTTTTCCCATCTCAGGTCTACCTAGGACCACCTTGCACCAGACCTATACTGGATCGAGGACGCAGCGTTCTCCCTATAGACCATCCAAACTAAGAAGCCCTGTTGGATACACTTCTGCAGACAGGATGCCTCTGTTCTTACCAGGCAGACAAGAGGAGTGAAGAAGGCCCAGCAGATCTTCCACCAGATGCAAGGTTTGTAGCCAATCATTTCTTCAATGTTCCTGTAAAATCTGTTCACACCTACAAGAAGAAATGAGCATTGAAAAAAAAAACATCCCATCTCTGCACCATGGTCATCACCTCTTCACATGACACAGCACGGGCCAGCCACAGCAAGAGAGGGATGACGATGTGGCATGAGAAGCATGATCTGGAGGGGATGGAGCACAGGGACACCAAAAAAGATTCATGCCAGCAGCTTCCATGTTCCTGGTATACTAGGCATCTGCCAGTTTGTGCAATAGCCTTTGTGGTGGCCTGGAGAAGTGAGATGACAGCCTCCTGCTCCTGATTTTCTAGAGTTATCAGCCAAAGTTATTTTTAGTTGCAAAGTTTCCATTGGCTTCACTGTGGGAGGTGTCACATATATAATAACTCACTGTGCCCATGGAGAAAACAGGAACAAGGTCTTTTATGCTTACCGTAACACCAAGAAATTGAGATGGTCTCAAAGAAGACGAGAAAGAGAAGACACATGCCACTGGCTGAGTAGTAATCAAACAGCTTGAAGACATAAATACCACCCTGAGGAGACAAAACCAGGGTCAAGGAGCTTAGTTATAGATTATGGTTGACAATATCAGACTATCTGCGTTTGCTGGCTTTAAGGCTAATTCCCTCAGACAGTAGAACCGACGTTGCAATGTTTCCACCGGAGCCTGGTTCCCAGCAGTGGAACTGATGCGCTCTTGCAGACAATTAGACAGCCTGTTCTGGCACAGCCAACAGTGAAGGGGAAAGCAGGGATTCACTGGGCTGTATCGCTTTTCTCCATTTTGGGTGGAGTCAGTTAATTTTGTCTGCTGTGCCCCTCCCAGGAGTTTTGCTGCCTGACCTCCTCACGAACCTACAGTGCTCCACACACAGTCTCACTCAGCCCTGACCCCCACACAAGTGAACCTTGGCTTCAGCCCCAGAGGTTCAGGGCCCCAACAGAACGGCCTTCGTTGTGTTATCTCAACCCCCTGCACCAAGCGTTCCGCCAGCCTGCGCTCTGTTGGCTCGAGCCCTTATTGTAAACAGCAAAAAACACAGCCAGACTGACAACAGGATGGTGGTAAAAGTTATGGAGGCATCCTAAGCCACTCGAGACGTAGCAGGGAAGAGCGAACCCATTTATGCAGCATTAGGATGGCTCCTAGGGATGCTGTCACTTCTCCCAAAGTTTTTGGTGCTGCTGTGCTATGCCGACGTGACTAGAAAGGTGCCCTGAGCGGAGGTACAAGCATGGCTATCTGTACCTGGGTGATGTTGGAGAATCCGATGAGATAAGAGATGAAACAGACGACTGCGATGAAGACCTTCTTCCTGGCTCTCAGCAGATGAGGATACTCGTCCATCAGGGCTGTAATGAACCCTTCCACAGTGCAGAACTATGGGAAAAGGTATACACCAAGGACGTATAGGTAAGTCTCTCAGCCTGACATCACCCCCGTCTACATTTAACTCCAGTGTTGAGATCCTCATCGCTTTAAGTGCTCTCTGCAGACACGAGAAAAGAAGGAGGCACCTCTGCACATAGGAGGTCCAAACCATCTTCTGAAAACGCCTCTCTCCCTCCACTGGATATGGAGGGAGCTAAAAGCAACTGGGTTAAATACCTAAAATTAGCTGAGATAAACCCCTGTCTTTCACCTCCCATGGAAAGCCTCCTCTTTCTTCCCTAGAACTCTCTAGAGCCTCCCCACCACTGCCCCGCGCTGCCAGGCTCTCTGTCACCGCTGTGTGCCTGCCTGCTGCTGGGACACGTGCAGGACCTGGCTTGCTCTTCCTCTCCCATGTGTGCTCTTCTCAGCGCTTTGCAGCAGCCCCTGTGCTGCTCGATGATCTAAAACACTCATTATGGAGCTGCATTACCCGCTGCCCAGTCACACATGCATATGCGTAACACCACCACCTCTGACTACCCAGCCCTTGGCTTTATTTCACTTTCTCAAGCACGCTATATTAAGGGCATGTAGCACATTAAAAGCCCATCCTCACAGCACATGGTCTTTCTAGAGCTGAAAACACCCGGCTGTCTTGTGCAGTGCAGTATATTAAGGCTGCCTGCACCGTGACACATAAGAAGTCCCCATGAGTGTTACCTCCAAATGAGTTTTCCTACTAATCCTGCCCTGTGGGATGAGGAGGACAGTTGGACTTTATAGACATGAAGTGCATCCTTCTCTCCTGCTTCTTGTTAAATTGTGAGGTTCACTTTTATATTTCACTCCCAGAAACCACGGGTAACACGCAGCTCTCAGAGAGCACATCATGCCTCTAGCAAAAATCCTGGGAAGGTTATGAAGGCAGCAAGCTCCTAGTTTCCCTGGTCACCCTCAGGGAACATGCAAGCCAGTGCAATGGAAATGAAAGACATTTCGTTGCTCTTGGATGTCAGGGACCTCCCTATCCCTGGGAGACCACTCTGGAAAGTGCTGGCATTTTTAGATGCAGTTTTGAACAGGGAGACAAGAAGAAAAACAAACAAACAAACAAAAAAACCTGGAGTGGAGGTAGAGGTATACAGACTAAAAAGAGCAGCAGAGGGTTGGAAAAATGTATGGAAGGGAAGCGAGGAGTCTGAGCTGTGCCTGTGGCTGGGCAGGGATGGTGGAAGATGTTGCACAGCACTGGCTGCTGGACTAGCTCCCACCTGGGCATGGAGCAAGGCAAAGGGCTGTGTTTCTGCCCAGGGTTTTACAGCCACACAGTACTCCCAGCAGGGCAAAGCTCAACGGCTTCAACTCGAATTTTTAACGAGCTAAGCCTTTTATGTTGAACACAAGTGCTATTAAAGCATCTTTTGCTGTTTGAGCAGGTGAAGCTGCCTTTACACTCCCTGACAGTGAGCTCTTCACCCAGTCCCATCCCGCTCGTTGTCTGGAGGAGTCGGGACTGAGCGTGCATCTGCTAGTGCGAAGAGCCGGCGTGACAAAAGCCCCACTGCCGAAAGCTATTCCTTCCACGTGGATGCGTGGCCAGGCACTGCCAGAGCCACGGGCAGGGCTGGGCAGTCTGGTACCAGGCAGAGAGGGGAAAGGGTTCGGAGGAGAGGCAGGAGCAGTCGGGGGTGGAGGGTGGATGTGAGGGGTGTCCAGCAGAGAGGAAGCGAAGAAAAATATGCCTCAGATAACAGGAGGGAGTAAAACGGACAGCCTTTGGTGCAGGAAGAGGGATCAAAGTGAGGGAAAGCACAGAGGGAAAGACAGGGAGAGAGGTGATGGGGAACAGGGCTACAAAGTGAGTTCACATCTCTTGCCTCCTATCAAAATTAAGTTGCTGTGTAATGGATGAAGTGGGGAACCAAATGGTGGTACACTGCTGCTTCTAGCCCCAAAACCGGCAATGGCCTTCACACCGTTTACTGAACATTGCCTCAGGGTTCAGAAAGGATGCACCTGGAGGAGGCTCACCTTCCCAACCGGAGGGACTGAGGCTCCTTGCCTGGTCTGGCGTCCAAATTTCCCGCCTGCATACCCAACCTCAGACCCTCGGTAGGCAGCTGCGTGAAAGGATGCTGCTTCCAGGAATGGTGAGGATCTGGCCCTTGCCATACCTCCCGGTCTCACCCTTACCCTGTGTGAGCACACACACGCCTGTGTGTGCATTGCACACCTCAGTCTGCTTTCCAAAATGTTCCATTTTTCTCACCGTCTCCAGCCACCATTTCTAGCGCATATTCGGTTCTTCCTCACACCTCACCCCCTGATATTGTTTCTTTCTTAAAGATTTTATTTCCATTCACTTTTCTCTTTTTTCCCCTTCAGGGGCTTAATCGTTACACAAGCTGCTGGGTCCGATAATAGGGGCTTGGTAGTCAACACAGAATGAAAGTCTGTCTCCCACACTCTCCCAGTGCCAGGGGCTTGCTGCCCCCTCCTTGGCCACGCACAGCACCCCGACCGGGACATGCAGCACCCTGACCAGGACCCCCAGACCCACGGGGCAGGTTCGGCTACAGCTGCCAGATGTGCAGCAGAGAGCCACAACAGCTGGAATTCCTCATGAATAACCTGTGAGAGGCAGCCTCACATGGGACTGGCGCAGGCTTGCAGTCACAAGGCTTGCTAGCTCCCCCGGGAGAAAACGCCTGACCTGGAAACTGGTAGGTTAAAAGAAAGCATTAGCATATTATGCAAGAGGGTCTAGACACAAGAGAGCGGAATGCTTCTCGGATCAGAGGCAGAGCGAACATTAAGGCACACGAGCGAGCGGCAAGAAGAGGGGGCACGGGAGGGAGGCGCGTGTCTGTCAATATAGGTCACGCATCCCATCCAAGCAGAGGAGACGAGCACCCTGGCAGGAAGAGGCACAGTAGCCATGCTCTGTCTGCAGGAGACTCGCTGTCGGAGCCAACGGACACAGGATGGACCCACTCCCACCATCACTAAGAGGCTGGGGCTCGTCGCCGCATTGCAAACGCAGATCTCAGCCCTGCCTTCCTCTTCCAGCTGGGCTCCCGAGCATCCCCGCTGTCCCCACAGCCCTTTATGGGGACAAGGGGCAGCCCCAGCCCAGCAGCCCTGGGGGCGCAGGCTGCGCGAGATGCCCCACTGCCCTGCCCCACAAGCTGGGATGCTGACCCAGGTGAAGAACGGCGGGTCGCCCCCCCCCCTGCCGATATCACAAATTTAATCAGCACATAGCAAAAACATATTTTTTTTTAGGTTTTTTGTTTAACTGGAGGCTTCAAAACGCACGTGCAATCACAGCCGTTGTTGCAGCCTGCGTTACCTCTTTTATAGGCAGAGGCTGCCATGCTGTTGGTGGTGTGTTTGATTGGATCAGAGCTCCAGCCTGCAGGCAGAAAGCTTCTTCACATATATTTATCTGTGCTTTTTTAAAAGCTTGTTTTCCTTCTGATGCTTCGTTCCCCCGCCCCTTCCTCCTCTTCCTCCAGGCAATGATAGCCCCCCACGGGCTGCCTGCCCTCCAAGACTAGCTGTCAGAAGGGACTCGGAGAATTTGAAGTGGTATTTCAGAAGCAAAAGCAGCAAATAAATTCCACACAGTGCTTAGAGGGCTTATTGTCATGTCTCAAACTATTTACCAGCACTGAGTGAATAATCCATGGAGAGTCCTTTTTTTTTTTTCTGTAAATGTAGCTTCTTTTGGAAAACGTAGTCGTTATTTGAAATTATTTGCCAAATAATGCCTACGGTAATGCAGACGTGAGCTTTATGATGTGTTCACAGGAGTGTGCCGTAATCGAAAACCAGATTTGGTTGATTAGATTTTCCCGGAAAATCAGGTGTGACATTTCAGGAAAAGGTCTGAGTCTGATTATGAACTAAGACTTGGGTTTATGAACGCCGCCTGTAATCCAAGAGAGCATCCGTTTCGTACCGGTGCTTTGCGCTGCAAGGGAAGAGCACGCGGGCACTGGAGACGAGGTGAGAGACCAAGCACAGGCTTTTGAAGGAGCCTTTGAGCTCCATGCACTCGATCAAACGGGAGGCACACTGCAGTTCACTGCTTCACTGGTAGCTACTTTTATGCTGAATTATCAGGAAAAAGAAGTATCACTGCTTGTAAAAATACAGAAACCGTGAATTTTTTTTCGGTTTGTGAGGGCTCTGAGGGAGGCAGGGTAGAGATATTTTGTTACATCCAGCCGCTTCCCCCTCAAATACCTTGTAAGGCTTATCTAATGGCAAAGATGTCAGGGTACCCAGGCACCACCCTTTCCCAAGGCATAGCTCCTTCCTTCTGCTGGGATCTGTCCCTGCTCACCTATGAACCAGACCAGGGTGCTTCCTCTCTGCCCAGGGACACTTTTGTTATCAACAACAATGTCAAAATGCCACATTAAACCTGGCAGAGCTCTAATTCAAACCCCACATCGCTGCTTTTCTCAGAGCAACCTGTTGACACGATGTCAGAGCGCTGTGGTCTGGCTGCAGAGATGCTCCTCCCAGTTCCTGGGAGTAGGGAAGATGGACAACTTCTCCCCTAACCTACAAAAGTAAGCCCAAGTAATGACATTTTCTTGACAGTGCTTCACAGTTTGGTCAAGGTGCTCCACAACACAGTAAGCAAATCCAAACTGAGCTTCTCACAAAAGAGAGCTGTGATGACCACAAACTATTAGTATGCAGACATGAAATGAGATAGTTAATACTGATTTCCCTTATTTCACATACCTATTTTTTGGGGAAAAAAATCACATCTTACCAGAACAAAGCAGTCTTGACAGTGCTTCACAGTTTGGTCAAGGTGCTCCACAACACAGTAAGCAAATCCAAACTGAGCTTCTCACAAAAGAGAGCTGTGATGACCACAAACTATTAGTATGCAGACATGAAATGAGATAGTTAATACTGATTTCCCTTATTTCACATACCTATTTTTTGGGGAAAAAAATCACATCTTACCAGAACAAAGCAGTTATTACGTGGAAGAAATATTTCCCTTGCCCCAGAGTATTTTGGCAGGGATAGTTTCCCACTAGCTCTACCTAGAGCCTGTGTGCTCAGCTGTCAGGGTCACCCGGCAAGACCGGGCCACGCTGTGCCCACGCAGCAGCACTTCACTAGAGCCAGCAATTGATCCAAACGGAGAAAAGGTTTCCAAACATCCTCCTACAGGGAGGCGGAGATTGTCTTACAAGGCTGACTGGTTCTGCTGGGCTGCTGGGAGCTGGTCGTTACTCTGTCAGCAGTACAAGGACCGGTGTGCTGGGTAGTGACCAGATACCGCCACACTTTGAAAAAGTAAGAAAAGACCCTGCTTAGCACCATCCCAAGGTGCAGAAGGGGACACCATCATCGTATCAAAAAACAGCTTTGTCTCTTACCCCGCTTTATCCCTGGGGCGTCTCACCTGACTGTCCAGACCCAACATCATCAGCATGGAGAAGAAGAGGATGGACCAGAGTGGGGACAGGGGCAGCTGTGTGACAACCTGTGGGTAGGCGAGGAAAGCCAGTCCGGGGCCTGCAGGAATGAAGAGAGGAATGCACCCATGGTCATAAAGCCTTTGATGGGAAGTCTGAGCTAAGGGCAACGGCTGAACAGAGAGACAACGATCACAATCACAAACTGCTGATATTTAATACAGGAGCTAGGGAAGCCTGAGCCTTCTCCCATGACACGCCAACCCAGTGGGGTGCAGGATGGGGAGGCAGGAATGACTGGAGAAAAGCTTTGCCTTTTCTCTTCCTGCAAGCAAGAAAGTCATCAAATTATTGCTACCAAATGGAGCTGGAGCACTTTGCTAGAAAAATAAACTAATATTCAGAGCTGGTTATAACTTTACTGCTGTCTTTTTTTTTTTTTTCCCCTCACAAAATGCTGTTTCTTGAGATAAAAGCTTTCTCTGGGAAGACAGCAATTTCAAAATACATCTTTGTGTAAAAAGACATGGTCCCATCTTGGTTAAAAAATTATTCTGAGGTTACAATTTCAAAATTGCCTGGAAAAGGAACTCAAATTTTGATCACATCTACTGAAAACATAGGCAGCATCTATTCTCCATAGGAAGATTTCAGAAAGTAAATGGCCTAAATATTTCACTGCAGCAAAAGCACATAAAACTTCAGCACAAAAAAAAAGTGAACATTAAAAGCAGGCAGAGATGCCCCTTGCAACCAAAGTGCAAGGACTGTCAGCCACAGGTGCCCAAGACCCATCTTGGTGGGAAGGTGTGCAAAAATGGTTGCACGCTTGGGTCCCACTCAGGAAAGCCCTGGGAGCATCCCATACTCTGTCAAATCACGCTCAAAAGTTGCTCTTGCATTTGAACCCGGGTTTCTGCTTACCCGAGGAGGCCAGCTCTGAGATCGACTTCTTCGTGATGTGCGACATGAAGCCAACAATAGAGAAAATAACAAATCCGGCAAATATGCTTGTGGTGGAGTTTATACAACAGACAATAATTGAGTCTCTGGAAGAGAGAAAGGAAGAAAAGAAACCACCTGCAGGTCCTTACCAAGAGGCCAGGAGCGAAGAGTCAGGAGAGCAAACGACCAAGCCCTGCTGAGAGAAGTCCCTGTGCCTTAGGGAGGGAGTGTGGGTGACGTGTTAGGTGTCCCGCAGGCAAGGAGCCCACAGACGGCCATCGCAGTGTGCACCCCCGGCTCCGTGTTGCCAGCAAGGGAACATTGGCCATCAGGCACCCCAGTCTCTCCATGACCCCCTCCCTCACCCGTGAGCACTCCCTGCCATGCAGGAGACTGGAAGAATCCCAACAGACCTGTAGACGTTGTTGTGGAAGGTGTTGTAGCTCCCCAGTGCGATGAGGGACCCCAGCCCCAGGCCATAAGAGAAGAAGATCTGTGTGGCTGCGTCCATCCAGACCTGTGGAGAAGAAGCCGGGGTTGAGTCTGCCTTCCTCTCTGCTGCCAGCTCGGCAGGTCCGGCCCTCCAAGCACAGCCACCCTCTGTCCTTTGAGGGATAGCTTGGCACGGAGGGGATGGATGAAACGTCCAGACACTTCAGTGCCTACCCTGTCTATCAGAGAGACTCCGTGCCGCTGAGCTACTGCAGGAGATGAGTCTGAGGCACAGGGACCCCATGCTGCAGGCGCGTCTCCTGCAGCAGCTCAGGGCAGGGCTAGCAAGGGGACTGGATGCAGACTGTGGGGCTGTGGGCTTGGCCACCCAGCCCACTGGGGAGGTCAGGACCTGCGGGCACCCTGTCACTAGGGCCACAGGCACCTGTGATGTTGGCTGCTGACCCAAGCTCCAAGGAAATGTTTGGGCCGGTAGCTGGAAATGTCACAGGAGCCACCTTGACACCTGTAGCTGTGTTACTGCCCAGCTGGTGGAACACATCCGAAAAACAGACTTTTTCATGCCTTTCTGAACAGAAAAGTATCTCCACGGTGAGGTAGGGCTTAGAGATGGCAGTGCAGGTGGAGAGAAGAGTCATGGAACAAGGAAAGTGCCTGGGGAAGACTAATGCGGAGACAACGTAAAGGTAAGAGCTTTCCTCGCTAGGCTACAAACCTCGGAGTCCGAGAGCTTTCTGAAGTCGGGCGTGAGGTAGAAGAGGATCCCCTCCTTGGCTCCCGGCAGTGTGACTCCCCGGAAGAAGAGGATGAAGAGCATGAAGTAGGGGTAGGTGGCTGAGAAATACACCACCTGCAAAAGGCACCACGGGGGAGAAGCTATCAGCCCACCACTGCTCAGGAGCTTTCCTGCCCACAGTGGCACTGGGTCTGGCATGAACCCCTGCAAGGGGAGACGGGCTCCTTGTGCATCGCCGCTTTTGGCAGCATTCCCTTCCGTTTTCTGTCCCCCGTTTCTGTGCTAGCAGAGGTTTCTCTCTGCCAATGACACACAAGGACACACTAATCACAGAAGTAGCATGCTAAAGTCTGGATGAATTGCCCAAAGACAAGGGAATTGCACAGGGATAAATTTAGTCTGCAGAAGTAATCCCTTTAAGTCATCACATCCTTATTTTGCAGAGCTAAAGCCAGTGTTTCTCTAGTCCAATGCATCAAGCAATGTGAGCCGTATCAACTCTACTGCTTGCTTTCCAGCACTGTTTCAAGGACTCACAGGTACGTACCATACCTCGCCACAGGGCCCATAACAGCGATCACCGGGACTTTGCTGCGGCTGCATAGCTAAAACCTGCGTGAGACCCACCGGGGAAGTTAACAGCTTAGGTGACCTACCCCCGCACTGCTTCTTTCTGATATCTCATCCAGATGATTCCTTTCATACTATTGTCCCACTAAACCATACTGTGCCTAAATAACACATCTCAGTGTCCCAGCATCACTGTTTCACTAAACGAAGCAATTAACTTTCCACTGTGCTAGCCAGAAATGCTACACAGTGACTGACAACGTGCTTCTGATCTGAAGGTCTCTCACCAATACCTAAAGGGCAGCAAGAAAATTTCCAAAGAACTTGGTGAGGTTTTTTTCCCCACCAGCAGCATTTTAAGACACCATGATTTTCAAAAGGGAGAGCCCAGAAGAGGCCTCTCCCTCTCAAAGGGCTGTCCCGCATTGGAAAACATAAGTAAACTCTGAAAATCTCTTCCCAAGTCTCTTGCCAAAGAAACTGAACGCAAGGACCCATCACTTTACAGGGAAGAGCTATTCTCTGCGCTTAGAATGAAAATTACCATAAACACAGTAGTGATTTTACAACCGTGAAAGGTAAATGTCAGGATTTTAATATATCTGCCATGATTCTGCCTCAAAACACCGTAACCTTAGTTATAGGCACTGAAACAAAATTGAGCCTGGAGGATATTTCAACAGCCGAGACCTGAGCATGGCGATGAGAGGCAGCACCGAAACTCACAGTCCTCGCACCATACCTTGCCTGTCCACTCCACGCCCTTCCAGATGGAGAAGTAGACCAGCAGCCAGGCCAGGGCCAGCGTGCCGGCCAGGGGCCAGCGGACGGTGCCGGGCTCCCCCAGGCCCCCAGACATCTGGTGCATGTTCCTCCTAGGGGTGAGAGGGGTTGTGTCAAGCTGAAGTCCGGCTCTCGGGAGAGATCCCAGAGGCGGCTGGAGGGGAAAGG